AAAAAAAAAAAAGGCCAGGAACTTTAATAGTGGAGATATTAAAAGAAGAAGAAGAATCAAAGGTCTGAAAAGATTTCCTTCCATAAATGGTCAGTATTCAAACTAGCCCATAGACAAGAAAGCATGGGGTTTGTTGGGACCATTTTTGTTTGGGGCTAAGTTATTTCTGCGAATGTAAGGAACTTCCTTCATTATTTCTTGAGTTTATCATTGTTTCCCAATTAAAGCGGTTTGAGCCTAGAAAAGGCTACTAAATTATCAAAGATTGGCCAAGAAGGTACACATGGGCCAGAACTACAGGGTTCTGAGAACCAGTCTTACCTTTTGTCCCTCCTCCCCTTGCATGCCTATCTTTCCAGCTTCCATGTAAATTGTAGCGATTCCAAGAAGGAGCTAAAGAGTACCCTGTCTTATTCCCTTCACTTTGTTCTTGGCTGGTAGGGTGACAGGCTACATGATTGTCAGGTGCAAATGTCTGGGAAGAAATGCTAATAAGGCCAGGAGCTTTGATGGTGGAGATCCTAGTCCCCACCAGTTTTCTGTTTTTTTTTTAAAGGTCTGAAAAAGATTTCCTTCCATAAATGGTCAGTAATCAAAGTAGCCCATAGATCAGAAAGCGGGAGCTTCCCTCATCATCATCAATCCTTATGTATTCCATTTCACTTTTGATAACTTCCAGTTTTCCTACTTTTGTACTTTGGACATTCCACGTTCTGATGATTGATGGATGTACGCAGCTGTTTCTCCTCATTTAGAGTTGTGCACCATCTGCAAATGAAGGTCCTGAAAACTTTACTTCATTTGCATCATCATTGAGGAAGCAGCTCTTCCCCAGTCATATTTTGAGTACCTTCCAACCTGAGAGCAGTAGATCTGGCAATATCCTGGTGCTATTCATAATGTTTTCATCTTCCAGCATTATATCTGATAATGGTGTGCTGTTATTCAGAAGGTTATGTGCTTTATTGACTATTCAAGGCTTTCAACTGCATGGACCATGACAAGCTATGGTTAACATTGTGAAGAATGGGTATTCTAGTACAATGAATTATACTCATAAGAAACCTGTACGTAGACCAAGAGGCAGCTATTCAAACAGAACAAGGGAATACTCAATGGTTTAAAATCAGGAAAGGTGTGTTTCACGGTTGTATTATTTCACCATACTTATTCAATCTGTATGCTGGACAAATAATCCAGGAAGCTAGATTATATGAAGAATGACATGACATCTGGATTGGAGGAAGACAACCTGTGATATGCAGATGATAAAACCTTGCTTGCTGGAAGCGAAGAAGACTTAAAAGACTCACTGATGATGATCAAAGACTGGAGTTTTCAGTATGGCTTGCACCTCAATGTAAAGAAAACAAAAATCCTCAAAGCTGAACCTATAAGTAGCATGATCCATGGAAAAATGAAGTTGTCAAATACTTAATTTTGCTTGGACCCATAATCAACACTTATGGAAGCAGCAGTCAAGAAATCAGAGGATGTATTGCATTAAGCAAATCTGCTGCACGAGACCTCTTTAAAGTGTTGAAGAGCAAAGATGTCAGCTTGAGGACTAAGGTGCGCCATGGTTTTTTCAGTAACCTCATATGCATGCGAAAGTTGTACAGTGAATAAGGAAGACCATAGAAGAATTGATGCTTTTGAGTTACGGTGTTGGAGGAGAATATTGAAAGTACCATGAGCTGCCAAAAGTACAAACAAATCTGTCTCGAAGAATGCTCCTTAAAAGCCAGGCTAGCCAGACTTCGTCTCTCATACTTTGGATATACCATCAGGAGGGACCAGTCCCTTGAGAAGGACATCATTCTTGGTAAAGTGGAGGGTCAGTGAAAAGGAGGAAGATCTCCAATGAGATGGATTGGCACAGTGGCAGCAGCAATGGGCTCAAGTGTTTAAAAACCAATAGCGAGGATGGTGCAGGCCCAGGCAGTGTCTCCTTCCGTTGTGCATAGGGTCACCATGAGTGAAACCCGACTCAACAGCACGGTGACAGCAATTACTTGAGATTCAGGTCTGTGAAACCTAGAACTTGAACCCAGTCTAGATAACTATTACCTCCGCAATTCTTGGCTGAACGTGCAGTTTAAATAAACCTCCAGCTTTGGGCTTAAGTCCTAACTCAGGTAATTGTTCCTTCTTTCCTACTCCCCATGATCCCATAAGGACCCGACCCCAACAATTTTAGTTTTCAGAAAAAAGCAGTCAAAAAATTTAAAAGCCCACATTCTTTTATATATATATATATATATATAAAATATATATATTTTAATGACAGTATGCAGTGTTAAGTCATATGTGCCAAAGGCCAGTGCTCACCCTTAAGATTTTCTGACTGCTTTAACTTATCTTTATTTGCCTGTGTGAAACCAACCTACAGAAGGTTTTGATCCCCCCACCCACCCCCCAAAAAATCATTTATCACTTTGAATGTTGGATCCAATGGTTCCTGCTTGTGATTTAAGAAAATGGGGGCTAGAGGCCCCTTTCTTTGGAGTTCTATAGGTGCCTTTTTTTTTTTGTAATTATCTCTTTCTCAGGAAGACCAGTGTTCGATTCCCAGCCCATGTACCTCATGTGCAGCTGCTACCTGTCTGTTAGTGGAGGCTTGTGTGTGTGGCTTTGAGGCTGAACAGGTTTCAGTGAGGCTTTCAGACTAAGGCAGACTAGAAAGAAAGGCCTCATGATCTATAATGATCTGCTCATGTGGCTGGCATGGGACTAGACAGTGTTCTCATTGTGCATGGGGTTGCTATGAGTTGGGGGGCGGTGCTGACTTGATGGCAGGTAGCAGCAGCAACAACATAGCTGCATGGTCTCCTTTATAGGCTTCTATTTGGCCAACTTGACCATGGTGTGGCAATGCAGGATAAACACTGGACTGCTAACCACAAGGTTGACAGTTCACACCCACCAGACACTCCTCAGAAATCCTATATAGGGCCATTATGAGTTGCAACCAACTTGATGGCACTCAACAACAACAATAACTATGGAGTCGCAGTGTGGTGCTATGGGATGATGCACTGACTGACTGGACTGCGAGGTCGATTTGAACCACAAGGTTGGTGGTTCAAATTCACCAGCTGTTCCTTGGAAACCCTATACTGGGTCCCTATGAGTCAGAACTGACTCAGTGGCACTTAACAATAATCACAGTTTGTCCAACTCAGATGGTGTGTCTTTCCCCTTGACTGATGCAAAGGGCCTGCTCATAAATTGCTTTGCCTTTTTAAAAAATGCATCATAACTTATCAGTGCCTGGCCCTGGAGTCAGCAGTGCTTGATTTCTAGAGACCTAAACCATCGCTACTCTATTTGGCTGGCAGTGGGGTGGGGTGAGGGTGGGTAGAGGCCAAGTGCCTAGTACACACCATCTGAATGATTTCATTGTAATTGTTCTCCAGAAAAAGAAAAGAGGAAAGGAAAATGCATGAAAAGAGGAGGAAGCCCAGGGTCAAGAGGCGAGTCTTGAAGGAAAGAGATAGACATCGGAGAAAGAAACACAAGGACAAAGGCACAGCTGAGGTGTCTCAGGACCCTGACTCTTCAGAGGAGTGGAAGGAGAGGACGTACCTACTGGCTCTGAGGCATGTTGAAGCCCTTCGGTTGCTGCGCATACTCCTGAGGAAAATTGCAGTAAGACACTTTCTCAATCGTTGTTGAGTTTTGGTAGGATAAGCACTGACTGCTAACCACAAGGTTGGCAGTTCAAACCCACCAGTCGGTCCAAGGGAGAAAGATGAGGCTGTTTTCATAAACATTTACAACCTCAGAACTGCCTTGACGACACCTAACGACACAACCACATCTTTGAGGAGTCCCTGGATGATGCACGTGGTTAATGCAGTCAGCTGTTAACCTAAGGAGTGCTGGTGTAGCACTAGGCGACTAACTACAAAGTGGGTAGTTGAAACCCAAAAGCCATTCCTCAGAAACCCTATACAGGGTTGCTATGAATTAGAACTAGATGGCACAACAACGTTAACCTAAAGATTGGAGTTTGAATTTACCCAGAGGTGCCTCAGAAGAAAGACCTGGCAGTCTCCTTCTGAAGACTCAGCCACTGCAAGCCCTATGATGCACAGTTCCACTCTGACACATATGGAATTGCCATGAGTCAGAGTTGGCCTGCAGGCAACGTTAACCATTCTGGCACCACCTTTGTGTTTCATCAGTGGCCTGTTTAAAATGGAGCCATGGAAACCAAATCCAACCTGATCCACTGCTGTGGAATCTATTCTAATTCATAGTGAGTAGATTCCCACTCACAATGAAGACCTATTATATTGAAGAGAGTCTTTTAAATAGGCTATTAACTATCTAGTAACTCCAATTATGGATTTATCAAAGGAGGATCCAAATTCTCGATAGGAGTTGTGTCTCACCCCTGCCATGCCTCCCTCTCCAAACCTTCAAAACTTCTGGGTGTTATTCCCCAGAGCTGTTAAGTCAGTCTATGTCCTCTTCTCTGTGGAAAATTGATGTAACAGAAAATACCAGGGGAGAAAGCCGACTGGTGTAAATGTTTGATTGATAGTGTTATATATAACCTTACTTGTCCATTCAGCTGCAACAGGTTTGGATTGCAAAGGAGGGAGGAGAGCCTTTGGGTAGCGGCTCATATTCATCTAGTCAGAAACCCCTGGATAAGGAATTTCTTACATTACAGAGCAGTTGTTTGGTTTGGAGAGTTTCACTTTTGAAAGGTGTTTTTGCCACCGAATGAGCTCCATCAGAGCCAAACTCAGCAGAAGTCCCAGATTAGAAGTCAAAAGGGCTCCCAAAGTGTTCATTTCGAAAAATCTCTACTCACTGTCTTCCAATGCAAAAAATGAATGACATTTATATTATATAGGGTTGTTGTTGTTGTTGTGAAGTGTCGTGGAGTCGGTTCTGACCCATAGTGACCCTGTATAGGGTTTCTAAGGAGCGGCTGGTGAGCTTGAACCGCCAACCTTGCGGTTCAAGTGGCTTTGCAGTCTGGTGCATTAACCCACAGCACCACACCAGGACTCCATTACATAGGATTGTTGTTGTTGTTATTTGCCATGGAGTCGGTTCCGGCTCATAGCGACCCTGTACAGGGTTTCCGAGGCTGTAAATCTTTACAGGAGCAGAAAGCCTTATCTTTCTCTGCAGAACAGCTGATAGTTTTGAATTGCTGACCTTGTGGTTCGCAGCCCAATTCGTTAGTGGATATTAATTAGTATTGCATATAGTAATTAATGGAGTCCTGGTGTGACACTATAGAATAAGCACCGGACTGCTAACTAGCTGCAAAGCCTGTGGTTCAAACCCACCACCCACTCCTCAGAAACCCTATACAGGTTCTCTGTGAGCCAGAACCAACCTAACGACACTTGACAACAATTACATAGTAATTAATGGACTCTCTAGGAGGCCTGGTGTGGCACTCCAGGATAAGCACTGCGTTGCTAACTGTAAAGTTGGAGGTTCAAACCTACCAGCTACTCCTCAGGAACCATATACAGGGCCACTATGAATCGGAACCAACTCAAGGGTACTGAATAGCAACAACTCGAGTTTATGGATATTTATGTATATTAGCAGTCTGGGCCTTTAGTGTGGACAGGCATTCCACACTAATCATTCATTAGTGTGGACAATCAAACTTAGTGAAATCAGCTCAGAAAAGTCTCACAATTACATTAGAAAACACAAATATTTGTGAATTGGGTGAAGGTTTACAGAGCAGATCATTCAACTGTTCCTAAACATTTTGTTCATGTCATTGATTACATAATCTCACGCATTTCACTTCTTCCCTGTGTTTCCTGTTTCCATTCCTCCTACTTCCTAACCTTCCTGAACTTGGTCCTTGAGTAAATACTGCCCTTTTGATCCTAAAGGACTGAGTATTCACAGGTGTGCATACCTCCCTAGTGCTACTGCTCCCCTTATAGACTTGTCTATTGCTTGGCAGAACATTCATTGAACCGTGGGGGTGAGTTCAGTTCCAGACTTGAAGGGTGACACCAGTCTCACTCCGACCAGTAAACCTTGTCTTTTATGATTTTGAGTTCTCACAATTACATTTGTAACAAGACTAGCTGGACCTTTTATCATTTGCCTTCAGGACTGCCATGAAAAGAATTTCTCTTTAAATGTATGAGGTGTCTAATTCTTGGCACTAGTAATCCCTTATACCTATTACACAGCCCACACAGGTGTAAATCCCAGGTCAGAGGAAACACTCTGCCCTGATCTGTCTCATGTGTCAGTGGGTGGACCTTGCAAACTCTCAGCAGGGCAAGGCCTTGGGTGGTACCTTTTCCCTGCCCAGCAGTTGTGCAGCCTAGAAAGCACTACAAAGACCCCTTTAAAGCCTGCCTGCTGTCTTACTTCTTACTGACATATGGAGGAGGGGCAGAGGTGCAGCTCCGAGACTCATCACCTGCAAACCAAAGTGAGAGAGGCTGAAGTCCAAAACAGAAAGACAGCCTGCTTATCTTAAAGCCAATTGACCCCCATCTGACATAAGACACATTTCACCCATCAGTCTTTTCTTGTAAGAGACATTTCTGGGAAGGCTAGAGATAATTTCTCATTCCTCTTCATATTCTCAGCCCTTCGCCCAGTACCTGGAACATTGTTGTTGTTGTTGTTGTTGTCAAGTGCCGTCGAGTCGGTTCAGACTCATAGCAACCCTGAATAGGGTGTCCAAGGAGCGGCTGGTGGGTTTGAATCACCAACCTTGCAGCTAGCAGTCTAGTGCTTATCCTACAGCACCACACCAGGACTCCTGCCTCTAACATTAGGCTGACACATTTTTTGAACAAATGAGAAAAAAGCATCAGGAACTTTGGAAGGCATGTAAAAGCATGCTGCCTTTTAGTGGAAGGATGAGCAACAGGTGTACTAAAAGCAAGCCATGTTGTTGTTATGAAGTGCCATTGAGTCAGCTCCGACCCATAGCAACCCTGTATAGAGTTTCCAAGGAGCAGCTGGTTTCTAAGGAGTGGCTAGTGAGCTTGAACCGCCGCAAAACCAAACACACTGTCATCCCTTTGATTCCAACTCATAGTAACCCTGTGCATGATTACCAGTACTGCTACTCTTGATGGGAGCAGTCAACCTCATCATTCTTCTGCAGAGTGGCTGGTGAGTTTGAACTATCAACCTTGAGATTAACAGCTCAGTGCCTAACCCACAGCACTACCAGGGGTCCTATGTTTGTTGTTGTTGTTAAGTGCCATCGAGTCGGTTCCAACCCATAGCAACCCTGTGCAGGGTTTCCGAGGCTGTAAATCTTACGGAAGCAGAAAGCCTCATCTTTCTCCTGCAGAGTAGCTGGTAGTTTCGAACTGCTGACCTTAAGGTTCGCAGCCCGATTCGTAACCACTACACTACCAGAGCTCCTTGGGCTCCTATATTAGACTCAGATTAAATTTTGTGCTTTCCATTTCCTCAGCACAATATTATTCCTCATTTAGCTAGATCCCAGGTGTCATTAGAAGTCTCTTCAGAATAATGTCAGAGAGTTCAATTTTCTTGGAAAATTTTTAGTGTCTAGATTTTCATGTGAGCTTTTTTTTTTAAACCTTTTTCTTTAAAGGCATCTACACAATTTAACCCACAGCTGGTAGATGTTACAGGCTCCGAAGCAGAGGAAGGTCATTCTCCAGGGAACACATTGCAAACTTTGGAGAAAGAAGAGCTAAACACTCAGTATCTTCAAACTCAAGAAGAAATGCCAAAATATCAGGTTGCCAAGTTGGACAATAGACGAAAACAAAAAATGAAGAAGAGAACTAGGACTCACTCATGTACAATTTCCCACCGACTTAGGAAGAAAAAATTAAGGTATTTAGCTAGAAAAGAGAGAACTAGAAATTTGTTAAATGATCACAATCACAGTTTAATCTCTGACCAGAATTTTTTGCAGATTCCAACAATTCATGATCAGTCCTTTGAGAAAGAAGATTGCCACAGTCCTAATCAAGTCTCTTCTTCCAGATTCCTTAATAAGGATGGTGGCAAAAAACAGAAGATCTATGAAACATATGAATTTACCCACTATCTATTAAACTATTACCAAACCCCAGAATATGCGCGTATCTTCCTAAAACCAGGTCACATAACAAGCACATGCCCGTGGCAAAGGACTGTCTCTACCAAGGGCAATGGATTTCAGATCAATTTGAGAAAACATAGACCTGGCTTAACCAGTCTGAGCCTGATGCAATACCAAGAACAGAGTGAACTTGCTCAAGAAGCTGATTATTGGATAAAAATTTGTTCTGAAGATCCTGACCATATACCACAAGAAAAAGAGGACTATGCCAAAGAATGTTCTAAGGACTTTAAAAATCATCTCAAGGTCAGCAAGTCTGATGACCAGCTTTCCTCGACTGATGGAGAGAGCCATCTTTTGGAAGAGAATGATGGTTACCAGGGCAAAGACCCCGAATCCAAAGAGAAAAGCCAAGTTTCTTCACCGGACAGATCAGTGGGTTTAGCTTTGGAATGGAAAGACGCGTTAGAGGAAATCAGTAGTGACTCTGAATGTTTCAATGAAACCCTTAGCAATGGGGAGCAAGAGAATTCTGTGGCTGTATATCATAGTTCCCCAGAAAAAAGACCCCTTGACTCGGATAAAATCGTAAGTTCTGATCAAGAAGCTAGATCAGGTCAGCAGATCTTGTATTCAAAATGTAAGCAGGATGGAGAGAAAAAACACTCTAAATGCAATTTTAGGAAACCAGACCAGAGGTCTAAGTGTGAATTGAGATACCCATGGCTTGAAGATGAAGACGATTCCTTTAGAGACAAGAAAAGCAACAGCAAAAAGAGGGAAAAGCCAGGCCCCAGATACTTGTTGGATGAAGGCTACTATCACAGGTCCAGTTCCATTGATCTGCTAGAGGACATTGCAAAAAAGAGGAGGAGATTTAATGGTACCACGTTTGACCAGAAAGTGAACTATAGACCCTCTCATGTGCCAATGACATCAGCAAGAAGTGCTAATGCTTTCTGTTTGAGAGATTTTTCCAGAAAAAGAGTGACTCCTTGGAAGTCAAAATATAACCAAGATGAAAGAAGGTCTAAAAGACATGGAAATTCTGAAAATTTTATGCTGAATTCTGGTAGCGATTATGTCAGACATAAGAGTCAGGAAGACATTGACTATGGAAACTATTTAGGAAACAGCTACACTAGTTCTTTGTATTTTCAAATGTTTTGATGGCCATTTAGATCTGGAACACTCTTCTTCACAGTAAACATGTTGAAGAAGAAATTTTAAAGCCAGATATAGTGAGCTAGCTATAGAAACCACAGTGTAAAAAAAGTAAGATTCAAAAGCTTGAGCAAGGTTAAATGCATTGCCTTGTCTCAAAATGACTGCAGGTGTTGGCAAGCTTTGGAAATACAAAGTATCCAGACTCTGAAGCCACGTGTTGCAAAACTTGATCCAAGGATAGCCATTTCGACAGTTCAAGTGCAACTTTAATTTGGTGCCAGTGAGGGAGCAAATGAACACTGAGAGGAGTGGGGCTAGCCTTCTGACTCCTTTACTGTCACAACGTCATCATTTCCTATCAAGAGCAAACAAATAAGGATCTTTTTCTACTTTCTTTGATTTGGTCAGAGACATCGTGTGCAGCAACAGATTGTCTTGACTTTTATCTACAAATATAGTTTGAAAGATGGAAACATATGATAGGCATCTTCATGGCATTAGAGTGTTTCATGAGCATCCACCAGAAAGAAATTATTTTATTAACATAAGGAGACTTTAAAAAGTTCATGGAAAATGGAATTAAAAGATTAAAAAATATATTAATCTTATTTCTCAACATCAGCTCCATCAAGTTCAAGTCTTGTATAAGCAATGATACCAGCCAGCCATTTGGTCCATTCCTAAAGAAATGTGGGTCCTGGGAATTTAACTGTCAGTACAGTCTTTTTCACATGATTAATGGAAGGAAATGATTGCCCTTTAAAGATTATTTATGTTTAGGAAACAAAGTCATAAGCAGTGAAAACAGGACTGCAAAGTGGATGCCTAATGATTCCCCATAGAAATGCTCACAGAATTGCCCTTGTTGATGAGAATGACTAGGAGTATTGTCGTGGTGAAGATCTTTAGCTCATTTTCTCAAAACACTCTCATAATAAGCTGATGTTATTGTTCTTTGGCCCTTCAGAAAGTCAACAAGCAAAATGCCTTGAGCATCCCAAAGAACAGTTGCCATGACCTTTGCTCTTGACTGGTCTACTTTTGCTTTTGACTAGACCACTTCCATCTCTTGATAGCCATTGCTTTGTCTTCTGGATCATATTGGTAAAACCATATTTAATCTCCTGTTACATTTCCTTTGAGAAATGCTTCAGGATCTTGATTCCACTTGTTTAAAGATTTCCGGTGAATGTTCTGCTCTTGTCTGCAGCTGATCTGGGTGCAACAGTTTTGGTACCCATCAAGCAGAAAGTGTGCTCAATTGTAATTTTTCAGTGAGAATTGTGTGAGCGGAACCAATTGAGATGCCTTTGATATTGGCTATTGTTCCTCTTGTCAATCCTCAGTCCTCTTTAATTCGGGCACATATAAGATTAATTTTTTTCCTCACCAGTTGATGTGACGTGTCTGCTGCTGTGGGCTTTATCTTCAACATAGTCTCATACCTTCAGAAAACAAGATATCCATTTGCAAACTGTGGATTTCTATGGTGTATTGTCCCCATAAACTTTATGTAAAGCATCAATGATTTCATCATTTTTCTACTCAAGCTTCATCATAGACTTGATGGCTATTCTTGCTTCAATTTCAGCAGAGTTCATGTTGTTCTGATAGGGTTCTTTTCAAACTGATTGATGTCTTATCCATAGTGCCTCAAACCAGATCCTGTTCAGACAAGTCAGTATGAATTTATTTTAGTGTAAAAATTTTTGAAATCCATGCATGTTTTTTTTTCATAATACACATTTTCCATGACCTTTTTGAAGACCCCTCATATGTTTATAGTACTCAAAGAGTTGTCCTTTTGGAGACAAGGTCTTGGAAGAATTTAAAGAGGCTCGGATTGCCCTTTAAGGCTTAAACATATACCAGATCATTAGCAGAATTGTTTTTGATGAACCCCATGTCTGTCCATCCTAGAAAAGCAACAGGATTGAAGTGACTTAGCCAGTGGAATTTGCCAAAGGAAGTATTGAAAGATCCTAGGGCACCAATAATGGCACTTGAAAGAGAGGACATGAGAGAATTCCATTTCAGGTTATGTAATCCTTTCACTCAGGGTTGGGTGACATCAGATGGTAAGAAGTCACTGAATATTCCCAAGCTGACTTATAAAACAGTAACAAGTGCCTTCTTAATCCTCAGTAATGCCATGGGGTTAGGAAGAGTCAAGGGCAAAGCTTACAGTTAGTTTTCTAGCCGGGTGGGGGAAAAATGTGTGCAGGATTTATAAACTTTTAACATAAGCAATTTATCTTTCTACCTACTGGTTTTGGACTTCTTAAATACGTTTTTAAATGGAGATATTTTATGGATTCTTAAAGACTTAACACTTTAACGTAGTACATATTCTCTCGAAAGCTTGGCTGATTCATTCTGCCTTACACAGGATTTTGGACCTCAGGGGCAGTAGACCCCTTTTTGTTCTCTTGCTTTCAACAAATCTCTCACCTGACCTGACAACTGAAGACACATCAATGAAATTAGAGACTGTGTATCAGAAAAGGGTGATTTTAATCCACAGAAGTAGTGGAAAGCACCATTTCTATATGATAAGGTTCACTTCAGTCAGGTAGGTTTCCAATCAGTCACCCTACGAGTGCTCATTATTAACCTCCTGTGCAACCTGGAATCTGAAGGGGCTTCAAAATTTCAGTTATCACACATGGGCCACAAGTTGTTTCTTTGATCTCTTCTAATCACATTTGAAAGTGTAAAATGAATGCAACACAGGAGATGGTGTTAACAAGATAGTGACCAATGAATGATTTGTTGGCTCTCAGTGTGCTCAATTGACTTTCAAGCCAGCGCCTGCCATTGAAACCAGTTTTGGCTTGTCTAATCTGAAACATCACTGATGGGGTGAGTGCCTTTTCTCTTCTCAAGACTAGTAACGGCTATTAATGTTCCAAGTGCTGTTTTCCAGAGTAGCCTTTTAAACTACCAACAGCTTGCATCTGGTCAGACATTGTTCGGTTACTAGGTAGTATTCTCCAATGATAACCTGCCTTTTCGTTTGTTGTTTTTTTTTTGTTGTTGTTACTTTAAATTCATGTTTCATGCCATTGAAACAAAGAACGTTATGGGTTTGTAATGGAAAGCAGCTATGCTTGCTTTGACAAAAGAAATCTCAATTTCTTCTGCAATTTGTTTGTTTGTTTGTTTGTTTGTTTCCTTTGCAGAATTTATAGGCACGAAAACAATTTGCTGCTCAGTAACCAGACATAAATAAATTGCAGAATATAGCATGTGCAATTTTTTTTTGTATAATAGAACTGGTGCTAAGTCACTTCTATATAACAATTAAGTTTTGTTTGTTTGTTTGATACTGTCTTGGGACCCAGAGGGAAGTATAAATACTGGTTATATGTTTACTTTCTGTACAGCCTTGGATTTTTATGTCTGTTTTGTGGTTAATGCACTCTAGATTTCAGTAAACTTTTTTTTTTTTTTTTTTTAGCATAGGCCTTAAGTGAGGACGAGAACAACTTAATCATTTACTTTCCAATTGACTGACTCACTGAAAATATTATCACCATTTTCTATTCACTTCAGTCTTTTTATAGTTACTTCAGTGGTGCAAAAACCAATTGATCATATTTTTGTCTGTGTCTTATTCAGTAAGGGCCTGAACTACAAACATTGTCTTTTGAAGTGCTCTCATGGTTTTCTTTGTATGCGTGCTGCTGATAGTGTTTCAAGAAAGCTAAAAACCTGTAAATTTTTTGTTCTATTTCTCAGGTAGCAAGCCACTTAACCTGGTAATTTTGAAAAGAAAGAACCAAATAAAGAAGTGTATTTTCATTTGTTACAAACTCTTTAACATGTGAACTTGAAAGTAAATGTTGATGATTTCCCTTTGGGGTTTACGTTTCTACCTGTAGTATGGTACTTTGCACTAATGTTGCTGATCCTTCTCATTTGCATTGGTAGAGAAACAATACCGACTTCATTTTCAGGTCTATTAAAAATAAAATTGTTCTAGTGAATGTGGGCTCTTTGTTCATTTAATAAATTGATTGGCTAGAGTGCTGCACACCCACAACATTTTATGTGAGTATAGAGATGCCTGGCTTTAATATATCTCGATGCAGACTTTTCTCCTTTATATGATTGTAGAAACTGACTCTATCAGAGCTCATGCAACTGAAGTGGTTTTGTTTTATTCATTTTGAATGAATTTAAAATCACGATATTTAGGATTAAGATGATCCCCCCATCAGCAAATGTTTCAGCAGAACTATCTGAATGTAGGAAAATGGACTCCGTTGAATTGTATCTCAGACTTTTAGCATCTAGTGAAAGTGCTCAAAGTTATACTATTTCCAAAACATGAGATAAGTGAGTGCAGGATAGGGTGTCTAGTCCAAGAAACTCAGGGCCTCAATATTCACCCTTTGACCATAATAAGTGTTCTATGTTCACATGAAATGTATAGAAAACAGCCTCTAAATATTAGATCACAAAAAGGAGACTGTACCTCTAAGTATTACATCACAAAAAGCAGCAAAGCTACAAATATGGAGATGTATTAAAACACACGAGACCAAATGCTGCTTATGAGCTACAGATGTTGGTATAGAGAACAAAATTTCTCTGCAGCTGGTTGGATGAAAGCAGGTGGGGAGTAAACAGATGTTAACCTGGACACCCCTAACCTGTAATAGTGGTTTTATCATCTTTCCATCTTCTTTCGAATGGCCCCTTTAACATAATAATGGTTTAGAAATCTGCTAGTCAGTTATGAGAACTTTTTAGATGAAAGTCCTGGCTTATAGTCCTATCCTTTTACATGTAATCAATACAATGTTGGTTCAGCTCTGGAGGGGTGGGTATCAGACTTGTGAGACTGAAGCTGTAACAAGGCTCTAGATGTTTCCTCTTGGCACTAGACAAGCCCGTAAAACAAGTAGCTTAATCACATCTAAAAGAGATTTCAGACTTCAACCATGATCCAACTTTTCTCCCCTCCCCCCCCTCCCCGCCTTCCCCAAAGCATAAGGCCCATCAAGTTGCCTGGCACAAAACAAGCAGTCGAATATTTGTTGAATGAAACCTAGTAGGGAAGAAAGGCATGTTTTAATATATGCTATATGGGTTAAGGGAGTCCTGGTGTGGCGCTGTGAGTTAAATGTGCCGGAGTATGAAACCGTATGAACTGCAAGGTCGGTGGTTAAACTCACTAGCTGCTCCTTAGAAACCCTAGCTATACAAGGTCACTATGGTTTGGAACCGACTCCATGGTACTTAACCACAACAATGTGGCTTAAGGAGTCCCGATGTGGCATTGTGGGTTAATGCGCTAGACTGCAAAATCAGTTTGAACTGCAGGGTCCCAGCTCAAGCTCATCAGCCACTCCTTGGAAACCAAATGCAGGATCGCTATGGGTTGGAACTGACTCAACAACACTTAACAACAATATGGCTTAAGGCATGAAAAGTGGAAAACAGAGCTATTTTTGGTTCAGAGTGTACATCTCTTATAAGAAAAGGCTGCTAAATGACAAAACACTAATATTCAGAGTAATAGGTTGTCTGTGTTTATATGATTGGTTGGTTATGTGCCTTAGAGTCGGTTCCAACTCATAGTAACCCTGTACAGGGTTTCTGAGGCTGTACTTCTTTACGAGAGCAGAAATCTCATCTTTCTCCTGTGGAACAGCTGGTAGTTTCGAACAGCTGACTTTGAAGTTAACAGCCCGACTTGCAACCACTCTGCTCCCAGAGCTCCTTTGTTTGTATAACTGACTGCATATGCAAATCTGATCTCTTTTTGCTATGAGTTAACTTTGCTAACTTAAGGATTCCTGAGTACTTTGTGATCAGAAGATACATTAAAACCAAACCCTATGCCTTCCTCTCAAGAGCCTTGTTCTATATACCTTCAGGTGGCCACCTGCCATTGACAGATTAGAAAGATTTGACTTTAGTTGGTAGATTTTGACAAGTCACACATCAATTAGCTCCTAATACAACAAGCTGGTACTCGGTTTGTGGTGTGAAGTTTCTGAATTTTTACTCCTCGTTTCTTGGAATAAAATGAATCTGTGTTCAAAAGTGGAAACTCTATGAAGCTAATGTAAAATGACTAAATCTGGTACTTTAGGGGGCTTTAAAAAAAAACACAAAACAACAAAAACCACCCACCACACTATACTGGGTAAAACCATTTTAATAACTGACCAAAGCACTTCATTTCGTTTTCTGATTTGAGGTAAAACCATTAAACATAGTTCACGCGAAAATACAATGACTATTTTACTACAAGAGTTCAAAACCTCACTAGTTGTTCATATAATACTTTTGCAAATTCATACAACTGTACAGTCTACTTAAGTTTAGTGTTAACCAAAAAACCAACATCAAAGAAAGACTTAGATACGTTCGCAGTGGCTGTACTTTTGTAAGAGCAGGTGACTGTTACTTTAGAAATATACTTTAAAACTTGGCTAGTGATGGGCAGTTTCCTTTTTCTTTGGAGAGGGCATGTGTGAAGGCTTTTAGGAGAGCAAACACCTGCTCCTCCGGTTCTGTATGCATCCCCCTCACTTCAAATTGTGTCAAATAACCATTACCTCGCCACGAACATGGGGGTTGAGGAGATAGTGTCAGAGTCTTCATACATTTCAGTTTGTTGACAAGCCATTTTAACCTTTCCAAACACACTAACACAAAAAATAGATTTGTCTTCCAAGGGTGTCCAGCTCTGAGATCCATTGTCTTACTGGACAGCTCTTGAGAATCAACACCAAATTCTTTGGAACACTGCCGATTTGCTTTAGAGGTAGAGAAAGCAGAAATCATGCAGTTAAGTCCATTGAAAATTACGGTTCTTTAAAGAACACCATGATTCAAAGTTGGTCCTTTGTTATTGGTATTTGAAGGACTTTGCACATTTAACATTGTCACCTCTTTGGGGAAGTATCAAAATCTTACCTGTCTCTCCAAAAAAAAAATCTAAAACAAAAAATGTAAATTCATTTCAATTCAGCTTGTACTAACTACAGTTGAGGGAAACAAAAGTATTAACATTTTTATTCCAGCACTGCAGTTCCTTTTCTCGATTTGGGACACACACTAACATACCATGCACATTCTAAGACACAATTTCATCAGTCTCACTAGTGATGTTACAAAGACTTTAAAAATATACAGCACGTTCAAAACTCCTCTAAATATTGGAATCACAACGCTTTTAAGGACAGACTGGAATGTTACAAATGATTTTGCAAAATACAAAAATAGATATGCCTCCACTGAATGCTCTAATCATTTTTCCGATCATTCTCATCTTTTGGTTCTTCTTCATCTGAGTACACAGTTGGCTCTTCTCCCTCCTTCAGCAGTTTGCCCACGTGATGGTACTTGACTAGAGGCAGAGAAAAAACAAACCCACAAATGGTCATTCTCATGCTTCACAGACAATTACCTCTAAAAGAGACTTCATTCTAACGCCTTTATTGGAGGCCTACCATAGACTCAGCCATGTGTTCGGCTTTTTAGGGATTCAAAGGTGGTTGTTAAACAGCCCTTGCCCCCAGGAAATTCGTTGTATGAAGAAGACAGAACATTTGATGGGGCAATGTCTGACACTAAATACAAGGTCATGTCAAAATGAATCCGGGTTTGGGTGCAGGAATGTTCAGAAGAACCACAGGTTCATGTGGAATTAGAATAACTGCAGAACATTCCGTGGAAGATAGATACTAAGACTGAACTTTGCAAGATGTGTAAGACTTGGGAAGACAGAAATTTGCAGAAGATGAAAACATCATGTGCACATAAAGGAATCCAGGTGAGAATGAAGCAACCCGGGGAACATGTAAGAGACTGACAGGCTTATACCTGGGATTTGGAAATGAGAGCTATGGGCGACTAAGAAAGTATGGAGAAATACGAACTATATGAAAAGAAAGCCTGAGGAGTTTGGACTTATTCTATAGATGGCAAAATCCCTGAACAAAGGAAGGACACCACTGTGTACTGGGACAGATTGTCGTTAAGAAGGGACTAGGAGAGCAGGACAACCAGCAGATCCAGATGTGAAAGGAAGAGAGCCAGAGGAGGATGGTGCCCAGGAAAAGGGAAAGGGAAGGACAGAAGACCTGGAAAAATGAGTAAACGAGGTGCTTAGAAAACTTGAGAGCCAGACAGAAATGGGGACCCCAGGATGAGTATCCACGACAAGGACCAGAGAAGGGACCATAGTGTTGGCCAGAAACAGGTCCTTGGAAGCCTTTGAGAAAGAAAGGTCTATGGAACTGTGGGGCTAGAAGCCACATGTGGTAGAGGGCAGGAGGGAAGGTATAGAGAGGAAATGAAGCAGTGATTAGGGACGACTTCCTAGACGTTTGTTTGATAGTGAAGGGAAGGAATGATAATCATACTAGACCAGTGAGCTGGAGTGGACAGCAGGAGACCGTTTTCTTCCCAACATGGACAAAGCCTATGCATAGTTAAAGGAAGTGATAAAGGAGCCAGGACAGGGTGGGTGGAGAAAAGTGTGTAAAAGCACACTTTCAGACGGGCCGGAGTTCGGCAAGCACGACACTGTTGCAACCAAGCTCCTACAGGGTTAATCATCTCAATGCCAGAGGCCCAGAGGATGGAGCCTCTTTTCATAGTATGGGTAAGGAATTAAAAGGACCAACCAACCTGTCTAACCAGGTAACCAGAGCTGCTTTTGTGTGAAAGAATTGTCAGAAACCATTGGAACTTCCCTATTTGGACATATTATAAAGGTCCCTAGGGTGCTTGGGGCTGTGCAAGACAAATTAAGAGAAAAAGCCAAGTGGTGCCTGGGAAACCTGCCTTTAAGAGAATCCACACTGGCTTTCAGTATCACAACAGCATTTGGGGCGAGTAAGAAAAACAAGTTTTTCTCACATTAATGAAGGCAAGTCCTAGAAGACTGAGCTTTGTACCTGATACAACTCATTGGTTTCACAAAGAAGAATCCATTGTTACAAAGGCACCGTTGTTAAGTGCCAGCGAGTTAATTTTGACTCATAGCGACCCTGTATAGGGTTTCTGAAGAGCGGCTGGTGAGCTTGAACCGCCGAACACCAACAAACAGGGGATTATGTTACGTAGCTGAACTGTTTTCAAACGACAAAGCTTTGAAAGTGACACTTGGTCTGCTTGAGAGCCAGATTCTAAAGGTAGCATCACAGCTGGCTAATTATTAATCCAGAACTCTCTGAAGTCAGCATTATTTTCAAAGCAAATGGTTGGATTTAGCAAAAGAGCCAATGCTATCTAACTTATCACATTGTTGTTGTTAAGTGCAGTCAAGTCAGTTCTGATTTATAGCAACCCTGCATAAGGTTTTCAAGGAGCAGCTGGAGAGTTTGAACCGCCGATCTCCAACTGATCATAGCAAATCAAAAAATGACACTTTAAATGAAAACTCTTCCTAAAAGACATGGTTATTGTCTTTGGACACAGTTTCATAAAAGTTGGGAAAGCATATTATTCAAATTCTTGGCAGTGAATTATTGTTCACATAATCATACGCTTAGGTTTGACAGGAGTCAATTCCTGAATTCTCCAATGGTGAACTTCATTCCCCATCCTTTCTTCTCCCCAAAGACACCTCAGCCCATAGCATAAGCATGAAACAAGAGTCTCCAGTTTTCTTTTTGTCACGCAGACACCATTGTTGCTGGGCAGAGTATAAGCATCGTTTACAGATGAGGCCTACAGTTAGGCTCCATTAGATTCAAAGAGAAGCTGTTTTGTAGAATACAAGCCTCCCATTCTTCTGCAGAGATGTGGGCTGCTTTTCAACAGCAAGTTCTACAAGAGAGGACTTATGAAAACCCCTCTTTCTGTCGTCAAGATGACCTGTCCTTTCCCACACACACCACGCACCACACATGTGAGTGTGGAATCTATGCAAACCCTCTACATTTTAACAGACCAAACCAGAAACACAAGTCTCCATAGAAAACTTGCTAAAAATTGGTCTGCAATTACAGCAAGTGACTCAGCACTGCTGCAATGACTGCCAGCCAGGAACTGGATCTGTCCAGGATCCAGGAGCCTATCAAAATAGTCCTAGGTGTCAGGCTGCTTAGCAATGGCTATTGTACTGCCCTGAGTCCCCATTATGGGTAGAAATTGGATCCTGGTACAATTTACAAAGCACTTACAAGTGAACTGAGAGTCCCAGTCACCCAGGGTCTCCTGCTGGGCAGCAGTGAGGTCAGACAGGTCATCATACTCGTCCTTCAGTGCTTCCTTATCCAGGCAAAATGTGGCAAGGCCTCTGGAGGCATCTCTGCCTGCAAAGACCCCGTATGGCCCCTCTGGCAAAAGCAAACAAAAGCAAACATTGATTCTTTATTAGACAATGAATCTCCCTGTGGCTCACATCCTTACCCAACAACACAGAAAATCTTCTTTTTGAGTATAAAATTCTGTTCAGAAACCTTAAATAACACTGAAACCTCACTCAATACATAATGGACATTGAACGACTGATTGCTGTTTACCTTTTAATTAACTGAAGGGAAACCAAAATGCTATATATGTTTATCAATCAATATACAGGTAGTATGTGCAATTCACCAGCACCAACTCCAACTCCAGAAAGTCTATTATTTTTTAAATGTAGGTACATATAATGGTTCCTATTAACAAATGGGCGTTACCTGCATCAATTAAACACTATTACTAAATTGTTAAAGATGTTTTAGCATATCTGGAAGCATTTAATGTTTTTTATGCGTAGAAAGGTAGGCTATATTACTAAGACAAACATTTGACTGAATTTAGATGCCAACTGTACCAAACTGTTTGGACTTACATACAAATTCGATTTGCAAACAGGTTTAGGAAGGGAACTTGCTGGTAATCTAGGTACTGCCTGTAGCTAGTAAAAAGTCATACATCATTAGCCCCTGGGAGTTGGGTGTAAGCAATGATCCTTGAAGATATCACAGTCTATGGGTTCAAATTTGACATGAGGATATCGAAGCGGGCTCTGTTCTAGGCACCTGAGTTACACTAGTGAGAGTTAAAGTTTCTCCGAAGAATTAAGCAGTAATGAGTATGACAATACGAGGGGGCCTAGAATGTTCTTTGAAAAATGTAATTTTCCCACAAACTTTTCAAAGTCCCTTATATTTCTTTATAAATATACTGATTTGTTTTTAAGTGAGTCAAAGGTATCTTATAGAGACAGTTGGTTGCAAGATTCAATTAAACATTAACATGTGCAGGAGAACTCATTTTATAAGATTATCAGTGGTTCAGGAATCTATCCACATATTACATAACCTTCACTGTCAATAAATAAGAGATAGACCGGAGTCTATCCTGTAAGATACGCACTGGACTGCTAACCACAAGGTCGGAGATTCAAATCCATCAGCAGATCAGAAACCCTATACAAGGTCGTTATGAGTTGGAATGAACTTGATGGCACTTAAAAACAAGGAGATCAGCACCTTCACTCTGATTTTTAGGTGGTCTTGAAGACATGAGTGAGAAAATACTAAAATTTACATGAAAAAAAAGGGCCAAATAAATACCCCCAAACAATTCTACAACATGTTGTTGTTGTTAAGTGCCGTCGAGTCAATTCCGACCCATAGCGACCCTGTATAGGGTTTCCAAGGAGCGACTGGTGAGCTTGGACCACCGACCTTGCAGTTCAAAGGACTTTGCAGTCTGATGCATTAGCCCACAGCGCCACACCAGGGCTCTGATAACATATTAGGATACAACTATATATGAGGGAACTTCAAAATGCTAATGGGAAAATTGTCTTTCAATTCGTTTTCACTTTTAAAAGCCCCCTTGTATATGACATTGTATTGAATGTGGTGTTGTTTGTTGTGAAGTGCCGTTGAGTTGGTTCTGACCCATAGTGACCCTGTATAGGGTTTCTGAAGGGCAACTGGTGAGCTTGAACGGCTGACCTTGTGGTTCAAACTGACCTTGCATTCAAACTGAATGTGTAGGAGTGCAGTCAGTCATTCTGTAGGTGCTTAACGTGGATGTTTAACCTGTTGCCATGGAGTCGATTCCAACTCACAGCAGTAACCAGGGCTGAGAAGGTTTCCAAAGCTGTAATCTTTATGGATGCAGATTGCCACAACGTTCTCTTGCTGAGCGTTTGTGGGTTTGAACTGATGATCTTTCCGTTAGCAGCTGAGCACCTAGCCACTCTGCTACCAAGGCTCCTTTGAAAAAGTGGTGCACCAAAAAATTTAAAGAATCCAGTGTACTTTCAACAATGTGTTCTTTCCCAACAGGGACAATGAGAGAGAGAGAGAGAGAGAGAGAGGCAGACAGAGACAGAGAGAGACTGTGTAGGAATGGCTGGTGGGTTTGAACTGCTCCTTATTCTATCCACTGTGCCACACAGGAATACTGGCTGAGTGGTGGTGGTGGTTATGTGCCATGGAGTCGATTCCAACTCATAGTGACCCTGTATAGGGTTTCTGAGGCTATAAAGCTTTACGGGAGCAGAAAGCCTCTCGCAGAACCACTGGTAGTTTTGAACTGTTGGCCATGAGAACAGCAGCCCATCTCGTAACCACTATGCTACCAGAGTAGCGACCTCAACCCTAAAATTAACAAGTGTGTGGGTAACCACTAAACCATGTGTGACAATGGATCAAGTTTCAATATGATGTGATACTTGAAACCTCAATCCACCTGGAGTATTTTCAAATTACTGTTGTTGTTAAGTTCCACCCAGTCAGTTCCAAGTCACCGTGACCCTGTATAGGGTTTCCGAGTGGCTTTGAACCACAGACCTTGCTGTTCAAACTGACCTTGCGGTCCAGCGCATTATCTTACAACGCTACACCGGGACTCTATTTTCAAAATTGGACGTGTGTTATGATCAACTTCACAATTCCAAAGAATAATTGTTTGTAATCATCATTAAGCGATTTCCACTACAGAAGGTAAAAAAAACCCTTCACACATTTTCTGCAAACTCACACACCCTCTCCTCCCCAGTGAACAAATGGTACAGCTTGAAAGCAAAGTGGGTTATGCAGGGCTGAATCCACCAGCCGTTTTTCGGGAGAAAGATAAGGCTTTCTGCTCCAATAACAATGTACAGCCTCGGAAACCCTTTACAGGGTCACTATGAGTCAGAACTCATTTGATGGCATGCACAGCAGTAGTGCTTGAAAACAGGCAAACTGTACTGTTTTTATCCTAACCAGTTCAGAAATTATGGTCACCATAGGGTCAAGCCTCACAGAATAACTCAATCTAAGTATAAAGCGAACGTTAAGTCTTTGGCGAACACTTAGCATTCACCAGTATATATATACACTAGAATGTGACGCTTCCTGCACAGGAATTTGTGTTTGTTTTGTTCACTGTTACGCTTACAGCACCTACAACATTGCCTGGCATAAAGCAGCAGGCACTTGAATGAATGTTTTAGGACTCCTTTACAACATGCAAAGGAACCCTGGTGGCATACTGGGTTGAGTTGGACTGTTAACTGCAAGGTCAGCAGTTCATATCTATCAGCTGATTTGAGGGAGACAGATGAGGTTTTCTGCTCCCGCACAGATTTCCAGCCTTGGAAATCCTACACGAGGTTGCTATGAGTTGGAACTGACTCCATGGCAACAGGTTCGGTTTTTTGCTTTATAACACGAAAGGAGTCTTGGTGTGCTGTGGGTTAGGCATTGGGCTGTTAACTGCAAGGTTGGTGGTTCAAACCCAGGGGAGAAAGACAAGGCTGACTACTTCTGCAAAGACTTAGTCTCAGAAACCCTATACAGAGTTGCTATGAGTCAGAATGGACTGGGCGGCAGTGGGTCTGGTTTTTTTTTTTTTTTTTTTTCTACATAGAAGTATCATTTCTATGAGGCTGCCATATATGGGTATTCACAGACCCACAGGATGCTAGTGCAGGATGGAGACTTCTTGTTGTTGTGATATACTGTTGAGTCAGTTCCGACTCACAGTGACCCTGATTAGGGTTTCTGAGGAGCAGCTGGTGATCTTGAACCACTGACCTTGCAGTCCAGTGCATTAACCTGCAGCGTCACATGAGGACTCCTCACCACCATTGTGCAGGGATGGCAACAGCGACAGGAAAACAGAATGAGGGGAGCCGACTTAAAGTACTCAATAGGCCAGCCATCTCTATCATTCAAAGAGAAGACTACTTGTTAAGTGCAGTCAAGTGAGTTCCGCCTTAACTTACTGTGACTCTGTATAGGGATTCTAAGGAAAGGCTGGTGGGTTTCAATTGCCCACTGCACCAGGACTCCAAAGGGAAAACTAAGGTCCAAAAAAAAAGACAATGCTTTGTATGAGGTCCCACAGTTGGTCAGTGACAACCAGGACTAGAACCACAACCAGGCTTTGAACCAGATTCCATCCCAGATATACTGAATCAGAATGGAAATTTTTAACAAGATCCCTGGGGATCAGTCAAGAATCACCCTGGGGATAGTTTTCAAAAGTAGATTCGGACTCAGTTTAAGAGTAGCTGGGATCAACTAGATAAAACTGGTTTGAAGTCCTCATTAGAACCCAGGTCGCCTCCCAGTCTGGTGATCTGTATACATTCCTTGCAATGCCTTTGCTAACTACAATCACTGACGGCACCCCCACGCACATATTTTGACTACTTTATAGTAGCTCAGGTATTTACATCATGGTTTATTGATACTGTCTCTAGATGCACCACCAAAGGTGACAAATAAAATTTAAGTGTGCCTTTCAGATTATTTTGACCTGCCTTCAGCACGTGGGTATTCGTAATTGTCCACAAGGAAAAACTAGTAAGTGAGTGAGTGAGTGGGGCCAGAACCTTTAAGGCACCTGATTTTCATTAGCTGGATTGGGGGAGGGGACAGGGGTGTCTTCTGGGATCCGCTTCTTTCTGGGGCAGTATGAAAGAAGAGAGTACCATGAATGTGGAGGTACCCTCAGAGTTCCTGTTTTTAGAGGAGTCCATACTCTTCCTTTCTAACTGTAAATCAGAATTGTCCAAACCTGGCTGCTTCTGAAATTGATTTGAGATAGCTTGTGAAAATGTAGATTGCCGGGCTTTCCACAGAGGCATCTTCTGTGCCTAGGCTGGGGAGCCTGTCTTTTTCCTCAAGTGTATGGGGTGATTTGGATGCACAACCAGATTTTGGAAAAAACCTCACTTCTACGGAACCCTCCAAGCCTGCTCCATCCAACAGCCAGCACTCAGTCATCCAGCCTCTGGTTGGCAGCTCCAGAAATCCCTCCACCCAGCAGCCTGCCTAGCCCGACCCCTTTTTTGTTTTCTCAGAATCCTCCCACTTTTCTCTCCCTCCATTTTTTCACTTGTATTTTTTGGCTTCTAGTTCTTTCTCTCCTGCTTCAGACTAAAACATCGTATTATCATCCTGTCATATAACCACCGTCCACCACATTCAGCCCTAATTCTTCCCTCAACAACTCGCTTCCTCCAGTGGAGTCGCCCATGCCCACTCTCACCTTTCCGACCGACACACACACACACCAAACACATGCCACACACATACCTTTGACACATGTCACACTGCGCGCTGCACCTGGATAAACCACTTAGACCCAACACGCACACACGCAGCGCACACACACATCGCTCACCACCAGGCACGGAGCTGCTACCTGCAGCTAATCCCGTCTCCTCTTTCTCCCACACCCCAACATTCCACCATGGCTACTCCTGGCGTCATTGGCCTTCATGTAGTCTCCAAGCCTGGACTTCCCCGCCCCCTCTCTGCCTCCTGTGCTCCCTGGAACCACCCTCATTTCTAAGCCCAACAACACCACTACCCCTACCAAGACCCGCCCCCCCCCCAACCTGATACCTTCAAAAACTTGCCCTGCACCCTGGGGTCCAATGAGCACTTCTCCAACCGCGAGCCTCACGGTCCCACCCACCCCGGGTTTAAGTGTCTTGGCTTGCTTCCCAGTCCCTGATCTCTGCCCCAGCAGCGTTGGTGGGATCTGCGCCCCCATCCCCAGGTTAGCAGACCTCCCGGCGCCGGCCCCCAGGACCGCCCAGTTATCGGAATGCCCACTCCCCCAACCCCCCTCAAGGGCGCCGTGCTCCCCCCACTCCCCTGAGCCCAGCCCCATGCTGGGGCCCTTTGTCTCTGCGCCCCCGTCGCCGGCTGCCGTACCGGGCCCGTAGAACTTGCGGCCTTTGGTCACGTCGAACACCTTGCCGTTGATGGCCATGAGTATGCGTGGGTCCTGGACACCGTCGAAGCGACGCAGCTCGGCAGGGGTGAAGTCGCGCCGCTTGAGGCGGGGCAGCGGGGGTGGATCATCGTCGTCGCTGTTGGCTGCCTGCTGGTCCCCGCGCACGATCTTGTAGAGCAAGAAGATGCAGAGGCCAAGCAGCAGCAGGTTGAGGGGCGAGGTGAAGATCTCATGCAGCAGCCCGCCGCCCTCTAATTCGCTCGGATCGGCGCCCGTCGCTGCCACATCCTCGGCAGCCATGATCTCTGGAGCAAAGGTTGGGCCGAGCTTAGGCAAGGCTCCGGAACTCGCCGCTTCCTCCTCCCTCTCAACCAGCGAGTGGCGGCTAGGGCCCCTGCGCACGACGTCCAGCCCGCGGAGGAGGTGGGGCCGGCGGGGCGGAGTCTCCAGGCCACGCCTGCTGCCCAGTCCTGCCCAGCTCGGCCCCACAAGCTGCCTCTGGCTCTAGCCGGGTGCTACCTCTTGCGCCACGGAGCATAGCCCACCCTTCCCTTCTACCTGCGGCTCCCTGCGCCAGCCTCATGCCATCCCCACTCCAGCCCCTAGCCAGGCTCTCTTAGGCTATCCCCATTGCTCCTCGCTGACCCGCTGGCTCAGACTTGGCAGCGCGCTGAGACCCCCTTCCCCATATGCTGCGCGCCAGACCCCAACTCCTTCCTTGGCTCTTGCTTCAGACTCCGCCCTCCCACACTCCTTCAAGCCCCTCATCTTCCTTTCCCAGGCCACCCCCAAGCACTTTGATCCTCTGTTATGACACCGAAACCTTTTTGAGCTTTTTTTATTCTACCTTATAGACTTAGAGTACTCATTTTCACCTTGCCCTCCCCCTTTGCTTCCCTAAACAATCGTCCCCCAATCCTATACCTCCCACCTCCACCCCTCACCCCCCAGATGCTGTGGGGCGGACACGAATGAAACAGCTAAAAGTGGCCAGGCCCGTCTGACAACACTCAGAATATCTGTGGGAAAGGAAAGGATTGCCGGTTTACTTTGGGCTTGTTCTAGAAAAACTAAACCCTTTTGCAATCTCTGATTTGCTCAGTTACACGGCAAGCAACGTTCTCTTAGTTGCGGTCCCTGCCCCCCCCCCCCCCCCCCGCAGAATAATGGCCAAAGTTTGTGTGTTTGGTACAGTTCTTCTATTTGAAGTCTGGCGAGCTGTCCTTGACAGTCACAATAACCCTGAGCTCAGACGTAAGCGGTAATTGGGAAGTACCCTGAATTTGGTGCCTTCCTTTTTTAGGTATTTCATCTGGCCTTTGATGTGTTTAGTGGTCTGCGCTGGAGTAGGCCTCCCTTGGAAGAAAGATTGTCTATCCTCCAGAGTACTAATCTGGCAGCGCTCTTTATTGTGGAAGGGGGATGGGAATGAAAGAAAGGATTGCGGGGCGGGGGAAGGAAATAATTAAAACCAAGCCATGCACACATCTGCTGCCCGGAGTAGTACTTTTCCATCAAGAATTCTGTTCGCTTGCACAAACTTTACTCCCTCCTCCCAACACTCCGGAGACTTGAGAGAGAATTGCCTCTTCTTACTTCAGAATTCTAACACCAGACTTGGCTAAACATTTCGGGCACAAACTCTTCCATCGTCCTCGGATGGTTTTTTTCTCCCAGAGCTAAATTTAGGATTCGCTGAAATGGCCCTTCCAAAATCTTTGATCAAACCTCTTTAAATAAGGGAGAAATGTTGTTAAGTGCTATGGAGTCGGTTCCGACCCATAGTGACCCTGTACAGGGTTTCCAAGGCTGTAAATCTTTATGGGAGCAGAAAGCCTCATCTTTCACCTGCGGAACAATTAGTAAATTTGAACTGCTGCAGTTAGCAGCCCAATGGGTTGCTAACTCCTCTAGTAGCAAGGACATAAATAAACCGCGATACCACTTTCACCTATTCGAGTAGAAGAGACTTACAGAAAAAAGAAGATAGATAGCATACAATGCCCATTTAGGGTGGCGGTGGTGGTGGTGGTTGTGTGTCACTAAGTCAGTTGCCACTCAGAGCGACCTTGTATAGGGTTTCTGAAGCTGCAAATCTTCATGGGAGCAGAAAACTTCATCTTTCCCCTGCAGCGAGACTGGTAGATTTGAACTGCTGACCTTGCTTGTAATCCACTAAGCTACCAGGGCTCCTTATATATGGTTGGGGGAAGTAGATATTGGTATAATCTATTATTTATTATTTGTGGCGCTGTGGGTTAATGTGTCAGACTGCAAAGCCGTTTAAACTGCAAGGTCAGCGGTTCAAGCTCACCAGCTGCTCCTCAGAAACCCTTATACAGGGTCGCTATAGGTTGGAATCGACTCACAGCACTTAACAACATTATTACTCATAAGGATCCCTGGTGGTGCAGTAGGTTAAGCATTGGGCTGCTAGCCACAAGGTCAGTGATTCAAACCCACCAGCCGCTCAGTTGGAGAAAGATGTGTCTGCCTGTTCCCATAGAGATTTAGAGCTCCGGACACCCTATGTAGCAGTTCTATTCTGTCCTATAGAGTCATTACGAGTCGGACTTATCTGTAGTAGGTTTGGTGTTTTTGTTTTGTTATCCATAAAAAAACATTTTTATCCATGAATCCTTCTTCTTGACATCTACTCTTTGATCCAGAAATTTCATTTGTAGGAAACCATTGTTATGTTAAGTGCAATCAAGTCGACCCTGTATAGGGTTTCCAAGGAGCGGTTGGTGAATTTGAACCACCAACTTTAGGGTTCAAACCAACCTTGCCGTCCAGTGCTTATCCTACAGCGCCACACCAGGACTTTGTTGGAAACCATTACTAGGTAACATTTAGAAATGCAGACAGTGATTTCATACTAAGATGTTATCAGAGAATCTTTTTTCTTTTTTCTCCAGAGAATCCTTTTTAATACAGTAAAATTGGACACAGCTAAAATGTTCATCTTTACTAAATCACAAATTAATAAACCCATAAATTAGCATTTGTTGCAGCCAAAGAACATCATGATGTAGGAAAACGCTTATGTATTTATCCTACGAGAGAAAAGCCAGAAACAAAATTATGCACAGTCTGATCTCAGCTATGTAAAACAAATGCAGAAAGGAAACATGTGAAAATGAGAACTGTTGTGATAGTTAGTTTCTGCTTTGTGTTTGTAGTTGACAATCCAGTGCTTATCGTATGGAGCCACTGTGATCCCTTAATACTAGAAAATTCCAGTCAACATTTCTCAAGCTGAAAGAACTGAAGAAAAAACTCAAGCCTCAACTTGCTATTTGAAGAATTCTATGGGCAAACTATTGAAGGACACAGGAAGCATCAAGAGAAGATGAAAGGAATACACAGTCACTGTACCAAAAAGAATTGATTGATGTTCAACCATTTTCAAGGGTTAGCTTATGATCAAGAACTGATGGTATTGAAGGAAGAAGTCCAAGCTGCACCGGAGGCACTGGTGGATTATGTTGTGCCAATTGACCATGGTGTCCCCTGAGACTATCATCCTGAGCCCCCAGGCCCAGCAAGTTGTTCCCACAAGGTGTTTGGTAATGTCTAAAAGTGCACACTTCCTGCGGTTTTAAATTGCATAAATTTTCTAACGAGTCTGAAACAAGACTTCCTTTAATCTATTACTCCTCCAATGGGTCACAGAAGCATAATTTAATCCATTACCCTTGCAAGGGTTCACAGAAGTGTAGTGCAGAGAACACTGAACAAAGAGAAATGAACATTGTAAATCCTCCCAGGAAACAAACAAACAAAATACAACCTCACTGCAATTGAGTGGAATTCAACTCCTTGTTGTTGTTAAGTGCCGTCCAGTCAGTTCCAACCCATAGCAACCCCATATAAGGTTTTTGAGAAGCAGATGGTGAACCTGAACAGCCGACCTTGCAGTTCAAACCAACCTTGCTGTCCAGTGCATTAACCCACAGCGCCACAGACCCTATAAGAGGTTTCTAAGGCTGTAAGTTTTTACAGGAGCAGAAAACCTCATCTTTCTTCCAAAGAGCGGCTGGTGGGTTTGAACTCCTTAAATCCTCCCGGCTTTCCATAAATATATTTTCCCCATTGTTAACACCTTTGAGAAGAATAAAAGGTGAAGTGAGGAGCTTTAATTTACCTTCTGTGTCTTTCCATAGTTGGAGTTTTGGTTTTCTAACTCTAGCTCATTGCGTATTTTATTCTGATGCTGCCCTTTGAAAATTTCTCTTCAGCTCTTTTGCTTCATCGTTTCTTCCATTCATTGTAGTTTCCCTATGTTCAAGAACAAGTTGTAGAGTCCCTTCTGACATCCACTTTGGTCTTTTCTTTCTGTCCTGTCTTTTTAATGACCTTTGGCTTTCTTCATGTATGATGTTCTTGATATCATCCCGCAACTCTTCTGATTTTCAGTTATTAGTGTCTAGTGCATCAAATATATTCTTTAGATGGTATCTAAAATTCATGTGGTATATGTTCCAGGTCATATTTTGATTCTCATGAACTTGTCTTAATTTTCTTCAGCTTCAGCCTGAACTTACATATGAGCAATTGATAATCTGTTTCACAATGGATACCCGGTCTTGTTTTGGCTGGTTATACTGAGGGTCTCCATCATCTCTTCCCATAAATGTAGTCAATTTGATTCTGTGTACCCTGTTTGGTGAGGTCCACATAAATACTTGCCATTGATGTTGTTGAAAAAAGGTATTTGCAATGGATAAGTCATTGGTCTTGTAAAATTCTATCATGCAATCACCAGCGTTGTTTCTATCACCCAGCTCATATTTTCCACCTTTCTCATTCCAATCACCAGTAATTTTCCATGTAACTTGATAGCCTGTTTATCCATTTTAGACTGAAGAAGTTTGTAGAATTCTTCAATTTCATCATCACTGACTTTCGTGGTTGTTGTATAATTTTAATAATAGTGATATTAACTGGTCTTCCTTGTAAGCATATGGATATTATCCTATCACAGACAACATTGTACTTCAAGATTGATTTTTAAATACTCTTTTTGATGATGAATGTGTCACCATTCCTTTTCTATGTGTTGTTTCAGCCATAGTAAACCGCATGATTGACAGATTCAGAATAGCCAATACTAGTCCATTTCAGCTCATTAATGCCTAGGATGGAGTCCTGGTGTGGTGCTATAGGATAAGCACTGGACCAAAAAGTCGGTTTGAATTGCAAGGCCGGTGATTCAAACCCACCAGCTGCTCCTGGGAAACCTTATATTGTCAGAACTGACTTGAGGGCAGGCACTTAACAATAACAACAATGCCTAAGATATCAATTTTTAGGCTTTCCATTTCTTTCTCTTGTTTTTGTTTTTGTTTTTTGTTTTTTTGGATTGGAGG